CCCCGAGCACTCCCCCGCGCCCCTGCCTCCGGGGGACGCTCCGTCTTTCGGTCCATGTCAGCGTGGCTGCTCCCCTGACCCGCAGCCGCAGCTGTCAGGTGCAGCAGTGCCTCCTGGAGCCTGCGGTCAGCGGAGGGGTCCTCCCCAGTGACTCGCTGGCCCCCGAGGCCCCAGGTGACTCCCGCAGACCCGCTTCCTCCCGCCGGCCGGCTGCAGCCGGGCCCAGCTCCAAACGCCGCTCCTTTCTCAGTCAGAGCGGCCCAGCCGCCCTTCCACGGATCTCAGTGTCCCACTGGGCGGCTCCCAGCGAGATGCTCTCTCCCTCCCTCCCGCTCAGGCCCCCAGCGAGCCCACACCCCGGGCAGCAGCTCCAGTATTTGCAGGGGTCCTCAAACTTTTTAAAGTGGGGGCCAGATCACGGTCCCTCAGAGAGCTGGAGGGCCGGACTATATGAACTACTAATTCCTACTGTAACACCTCGGCTGCGCTCACTGCCCAAAAAACCTGGCGGGCCGATCAGACTCCTCTGCGGGCCGCATGTGGCCCGCGGGCCGTAGTTTGAAGACGCCTGATTTAAAGGAAGTAGCATCTGCCCTTCCTCCTGTGTGCGAGGCCCCTCAGGGGTTTCAGGGGGGGATGGTGGGGGGGGAGAGCCGGCAGCTGGTGGAGCCGGGCTCCCTGGTCCCGGAGGGAGGCCGGGGTGTGTGTGTGTGTGTGTGTGCGTGCGTGCAGCTCAGCAGATGTTTCTGAGGACCTGGGGTCAAGGCAGCTCCGGGGAGAGCAGGAGGGAGGGAACGGAAGGCGGAGCAAAGGGGTGAAGAGGAAGGCACAGCTCACAGGCCGCCCTTGGGACAGAGTGCTCCTCTGGGAAGGGAAGGGACTGCCTCTTCTCCTCCCTCCTCTCGGATTTCCCGCAGGGAGAGGAGGCTTTCGGTGATGGGATGGGGTGGCACCGGTGTGGGCCCTGCAGGGTGCTCACCGAGGGCCTGGGGAGGCACTGCCCTCGGGAGCGCCCTGAGAGATGGCCAGGGCCCGGGGACACGGGGGTGCCCGCCTTTGGGCGAATTCCTGGCTGGACGCACTGAACTCTGATGAGTCTCCCCCAGGCGGGAGAGCCAAAGAAATAAATATCTCAGAACGTGAGAGAAGACGGGAGAGCGGCTGAGACACCGGGGCTGATCGGGAGGCGATGCGAGAAGGCAGGCGAGGGAGGAGAAAGGGTTGAAATAAACCACATTTTCCAAGGGTTTTGGATTTACAGAAAAATTGCAAGCAGAATAGAGCGAGTTCCTGTGCCCGCCCCGCCCGAGCCCTTTCCCATCAGGGCTGTCAGGACGGCCTCCCGCCATTCCCGAGCGGCAGTGCCACGGCCTGTGCACAGACAGGGGCTCAGAGAGCCGCAGTGCTCACTGACGGCCCCGTTCTGTCCCGGGGGGTCCCCGCGGGGGGTCCCGCCTGTCTCGTAGGCTGCCCGTGGCTCTGACAGTTTCTCGGACAGACGTTCCCTGTCTTTGCTGACCTTGACCATGTGAGCAGCCCTGGTCGGCTGTTCTGCAGAACGTCCCTCAGCTGGGCCTTGTCTGCTCTTTTTCTCCCGATCAGACGGAGGTTATAGGTTTGGGGGAGGAACATACCGTCAAATGACTTATCGCTCTGATGCTGCTGACCTTGCCCCTGACCTTGAGGGGGTGTTGGTTAGCCTGGTTCCACTCTGCTGACTTTGGAGGCGTTCCTGAGCACAGGCCACACTCACAGAGGGCCTCTGCCCGCTCCTGCGGGAGGAGCTGGGGGAGTGCTCTGCTTGCTATTCTGCACAACAGGGATGTGGGAGCCATTCATGGAGAATCTGTTCCCAGCCCAAGGGGGAGTGGGAGGAGCCTGGGGCCGGAGGGGGTCCAGGCCTGGGATAGCTCTCCTAACCTGAGGGAGACGGGGGAGGGTGCCAGTCCAGGGGGAGGAGGGGAGGAGCCGTGCTCCATGAAAGGGAAGACTCTTGCTCTAGCTGGTGTGGCTCAGAGGATAGAGCGCCGGCCTGCGGACTGAAGGGTCCTGGGTTCGATTCCTGTCAAGGGCACATGCGCGGGTTGCAGACTCAATCCCAAGAGCTGGTTGTGCAGGAGGCAACCGATCAATGATTCTCTCTCATCATTAATGTTTCTCTCTCTCTCTCTCTCTCTCCACTCACACTGATGGTCGATTCCCAGAAACTTGACGAAATATACTTCCGAGTTTCCCAAACGATAGTGGAAACGTTTTCTCTTTTGCTCCAAGAAGAGTGTTAAAGAGAAAATAAGAAGGTCAAACATTTACAAACACACAGCAACGTAGCCTGGCCCAAGCGTGTCTCCCCGCCCCTCTGAGGATGCGGGGCCAGCGCTGAGCTGTGTGCCGGGGCCTCCTGGACCCCGTGTCCTCTCTCCGTGAGGGGCTGTCACCCGGGCAGGGACATGGGCCTGGGGCTGTGAGCAGGTCTCAGCTCTGGGGGAGCCACCAGGAACCTTCTGCTTGATTGAAGGGAAGACTCTTGCTCCAGCTGGTTTGGCTCAGTGGATAGAGCGCAGGCCTGCGAACTGAAGGGTCCTGGGTTCGATTCCGGTCAAGGGCGTATGCTCGGGTTGCAGGCTCAATCCCCCAGTGGGGGTTGTGTAGGAGGCAACCGATCAATGATTCTCTCTCATCATTGATGTTTCTATCTCTCTCTCCCTCCCTCTCCTTCCTCTCTGAAATCAATAAAAATATATATTAAAAAGAAAAAGAAAGGGAAGACTCTTGTAGACGGGACAGCAAATGTGATTTGGAGAAAACAAGATCTGGCCGTTACATGCAAAGGCTATTTCCCGCAGAGGGGCAGCATCTAACAAAACGCTCCGCCTGCCAGCATTTGCCGGCCCCTGGGGAGCTCAGTGGGCACTGTTGGCCTGTCCTGTTGACTATGGAGGTCTCAAGGTCAGTGAGAGCCTGCCAAGGTGACGCAGTCCCTGCCAACATTAAGGAGGCCATGCCCAGGCAGACACAGGGAAAACAAAGTGGAACACCTCATTTCTCACAAAAGCCCCACAGACTCAAGATTTTACCCAGTGGCTGTTCCAGGCAGTGTGCTGGGTAAACTTGACCACATTTAGCCTCTCTGATCCTTGGTTTAGCTTCTGCCACATCCAATCTCTTGCTGTTATAGAACAAAAATTATTCTACCTTCAGAGTTCTTACTTGAGACTCTTGTAATAAAACACAAATTAATAAGAGGAAAACATGAACAACCGAATAACAGTTTATTAAACATGTATCCCTCATATGTAAGCGGGAGAAACCCAGGGGAAAATGAGAAACTCTCTGAGGTGGCTTAGAACTCTGGCTTAAATACTGTCTGAACTGGGAAGGAGAAGGGGGATGTGTAGGCGTTGTTGGGGAAGAGTGAATGACTTTTAGGAAAGACAAATGGGCCCTTGAGTAGATGGGGGTGTGATAGTATGTGACAGTTTGTCTGGGTGTGGTGTGGACTTTTGGTCTCCTCTCCTGGGATAAGTCCATCTTCTCTGGTTGATGAAACTCCCAGAGGCAGGATTCCTGACCAGTCAGTTCCTTTGGGAGGATCTGTCCCCCGGCAGATCAGGGGAATCCAGAGAAAGCCTCTGCCAGCCCCTCGTGCTGTTGGCCATGACTCCCCTCCCAGCCCGACAGTGCAACTACTTCTGCCCAAGGTGTTGCGGGCACCACTTCCTCTCAGTCAGGCCCACATGAGCCAGTCAGCCCTCTGTGCCAGCCGCAGTGTCTGCAGGGACTTCTGGATCTGATAAGCGCTTCAGATGGAGTCATCCTGTCTATGTGACTCCTAACATAGGAACACAGTGTCCTGTGCAGGGCGGGCCTGCCTCCCAGTTGTCAGGACACTGACCAATGACCGACCCTGAACTAGAATAAGCAGGTTGGAAAATAACCATCTTGCTTTTCATCGCTTTTAAAGGTATGGATAGCTCGCATTTGTTTCGTTAATATTAGAAGTGTTTTGGGTCTTTATGTAGAAGTTTGGTGATGTTTCTGTGACCCGGATGCTGTGGGAACTTAGCTCCTGTGCAGAGCACTTAGCCACTGGTATTTTGCTGTATTTCGTTTAGCTTCATGTTACTGTTTCTGAGAGCCTGTCGGTGACGTTAGGTGAGGACTTCTGCAGGTGACCGTTTATTAGGTCAGCAATATCCAGCACAAACTCAACAAGAACCAAGGCCGAGTGCGGGGCACCAGGCCTGCAGAGCTCCAGCAGCCTCAGCACCACCAGCTGTTAGACAAAGATCCCACCCAGACCCACCAGGAAACCCTCCCCTAGAACTTCCCCAAGCCCCTGGGCGATCCTCCTGCACATTCCAGTCTGAGGAACATGGAGAGAACGCACTGCCCTCAGCTGTGGACCAGTGCGAGCTGGTCCGGGGAGGAGAGGATCCGCCCGCCAGGTCCACCTGCGCCTGTGGCTTCGGGGTGATGGCAGTTGTGTCTTCCGAGCTTCCCCGCCGGAAGCCACGTGCTGTGCACAGGAGGGACACGGAGGCAGGGGGAAGGCTTACCCTTCAGATCCGGGACTAAGATTCAGTGGAAGCCTCAGAGTAAGAGTATGAAATGATTTTATTATAAAACTTAGGCAATTTATTAACCATTCACCTTCTAAAAAACACAAACATGAGAATACAGTAAACACACCCGGGACTTGCCCTCCTCGCGGTCAGAGGCAGCCCTGGACAGAGCCCGTGGACGGTCCCTTTGCTAGTGTCTGGGCGCCCTGCGCCGTGGGGCCCGTGCTGGCCGCCTCTTCGGGGAAAGGACAGTAAAGCTACAAGGTTCACGCACAAAAGGGTCACAACCACAGCCACGTGATGCTCACGGCTTGCGCATCTAGTCTGCAGCTGAGAGGCCATGCCAACCAGCCAGCCACAGACTCTCCCGGCTCGGCGCTGCCCTGCCGAGGAGCTGCCCGTGGGACCGCTGCCCTCCCTCACGGCAGCTCTGGTTTCTCCCGGAGCACAAACTCCAAAACCCACCCGCAGGCTCCAAGTTCAAGTATGAGGTCTGTTTGAGGACAGCCCAGTGGATGTAGTGTTTCCTCGTTCTCTGTAGTGTCTGCTGGTGTGGTCCCTGGGCCAGCATTCCTGCCGCCGACCTCGCTCCCCGGTCAGCGTGGGCCATGCTCCAAAGGCAAAGGTGAGATCAGCGACGGCCGTGGCCTGCCTTCATTCTGAAGCCGTACGTCACGAACGGAATCCACTTCACCTCTGCAATGGAGCTTCCAAAAACACCAGGCACCGCCTACAGAGGAGAGAACCTATCAAAACGAGGCCACGCTGACCGGGTTTTCTGTTCCGAAGGAACGTACAGCTGGGCTAGGAGGCGGGGTGTGTGTGTGTGAGTGAGTGTGTGTGTGAGTGTGTCTGTGTGTGTGTGTATGTGTGAGTGTATGTGTGTGTGTGTGTGTCTGTGTGTGTGTGAGTGAGTGTGAGAGTGTGTGTGTGAGTGTGTGTGAGTGTGTGTGAGAGACTGTTCTACACCCCACGGCATGGGGCTCCCACGTGGGCACCAGAGGCAGCTCTGCTCTGAACGAGTGCCCGTGTGAGCCCGGTGCCCGCTCTGTTCACTCGCTGATGCTTCTCAGAAAGAACAGACACCCCGAGGGGCCTTACAAACAGGACCCGAAGCAGGAGGAGGGCAAGGCAGCCCAGTGGTTACTGACAGGGTCAATGCCAGCCACTGCTGCCACGGCTCAGGCTGACCGTCTCCCAGGCCCTGCGAGGAGCAGTGCTGTGTGCATCCGGAGCCGGTTTTAAACATTAAATCCCGAAGGTAACAAAGGGGGCCGTCCAGAAGGCCTGGTCACCGACAGTGGCGCTCAGCTCCTTCAACCACAGGACAGCCAGCAGTTTCAAGCAGACTCAGTCCCGTTTAGGGTGAGCCTGCTTTTGAATACACTGCTTGATTTTATGTCCAAACTACAAACCCAAACGTAAGCAATTTCAGGAAAACAAGGATTCTCATTTGAATGTCCCTGGGGCACCCCAGCCACCCCAACGGGGCCTAAAGCAGTGACTCCTCACAGTGGGGACACTGGGCTCCAGGCACAGACTCCTCACGATGAGCTGTGACCTGACTACTTTCCTGCACAGACCAGACCGCTGCCCCGGAGACGGCTGCCCCTGCCACCAGCTCCCTGGGAGCCAGAGGAACGTGCTGCTCTCTCTGGAGGGACAGACCTTAGGAGGCGTCCTGGGCGGGGCCCGGGCCGTCCTGGCCCTCCGGCTCCGGAGGGGGCGCCGGTGCGGCTTCCCTCTTCTTGGCCGCCAGGAACTCGTGGATGGCTCGCTCGATCTGTGGCCTGAAGATGTGGTTCAGTTTGGGGTCCACCACCTGAGAGATGATCCTGTCCACTCCGGCTTCCAACATCCCCGACCTGTGGCGGCAGAGACCATCCCGTTACCCAGCTGCTCTGAGTCCTCCCGCCCCAGGGTCCTGGGAGGGCCCAGCCAGCGCCCCTGCGAAGCCGCGGCTGCTCCAGGGGGTGCTTCCCAAGGGGGCCCATTGGCAGAGTTCAAGTTGCCGTCTTTCCACTTAGAGCAGCTCCCAACCAGAAGCTCCCATCCCGCCTCTCAGTCCCCTCCACGGCCCCCTCCGCCCGTGCAGGGACCATGGAGAGCGACCGTGACTCATGAAGCACCAGGTGACGGGCGGAGCTGAGCCCGCCAGCGCTCCGCCCACCAAAGGCGCGGTCACCCCCGATCCGGGCGCGCTGTGGCTGGGACCTAGGGCACACACCAGGGACTTGTAAACAGACAGGAAACAAATTGGTTCTAAGCTCCTAAGGGGCCAAGATCCACCCCAGCCCCTTTTCAAAGCAGAGCCAAAATTGGCCAAAATGTCTGTGTTCAAACATGGGGGGCAGGTGGTGAGGAAGACGTGGTGACAGGAAGCACGTCGCATTTGGAAAGTCTGGAGGACTCCATGGAGGTTCAGACCAAAGTGTCCGAGGACTGACACGTGTGAGCACCACCATAGCACGAGGGCAGCTACTTCTTCTCCTTCAGCCCGGAGCGCCTGGGCCAGGCATGTGACAGATAAACCTGTGCGTCCCTGAGCGTGAGTTGTAATGAAGGACGGTCTGCTGCAGCTCCTAGGAGCCACCGTCCACCCGGACCCAGCAGCACCCGCACTGGCCTGTGCCTGCACCGCGTCCCGCCCTCAGGCCGCTACTCACTGAACCACACTCTGCCGCAGGCCGTTCCGCAGCTGGTTCTTGTTCATCGTCGGGTTCCACTCCTGCTTGTCCAGATGTGTGGAGACAAAGTTATCCACTTTCTGCCTCAGGTTCTGGTAGGCCGGCTAAGAGATGAGAAAGGGGCAAGGTCAGCAGTTACATGCACAACGTTGTGGTCATGTCGTTCAGAACGCTGCTTTTCAGACACGGACTCTCCGGTCCTCGCTAACTTCATGGCCGCGCGGCAGACAGCGTGAATTATGCCAAGGAGCGCCAGATGCTTTAGGTTGTGATCCCACTTTTCCAGGGACCCTCCGAGGGAGGTCCTCTGAGGTCCCTCCCCCCTTAGAGGTGGAAATGCAGGCTTCCGCACAGTACACAGCCTGCCCACAGGCCAGACTCAGGCTCTTTCCGAACCACAGGGGCTGGTTCTAGGCCGCTCCGGGGCTTCCCAGCTCTCCGCTTCCCCACGGCCACAGCCTGAGCCTGTCACTGCCAACCGGAAAGCGGTGCTGTTTCCGCCCCCTCCCTCTCAGCAACAGGCCCGGGAACGCCTCTGCCCCCGGCGGAGGGCCACCGGCCTCAGCTGGACACAGGAACGCGGACTGAAGTCTAAGCCCACGAACACGGGGAAGGCAGGACATCCAAAGAGGAGCGGAGAGGCACCCGCTGGTCCCAGACCAGCTGCATCAGGACAGACTGAGGGACGTGGTGAACACAAGGAACGCAGGCTGAGCCTCCAGAACCGTCAGGCCCCGCCAGCTGCTCTTCTCCAAAACCGGGGGTAAACGCGCCCTGCTCCCCCTCCCACGCGGGCGGAGGGCACCCCCACCCCAGTGATGCCCAGTTTGGTGCTGTGATCTGCGCTGGCAATGGATTGCCAGTGGCTCCGGGCCCCGATGACCCTCCAGAGCACCCACGTCCCCGGCAGCCCCCGCTCCTGTAGTCTGGGACTCAGGGTGAGCAAACGTGCTGCAGACCTAACCCCAACCCATAGCCAGATCCCAGCCCAGGCAACCTGCGGCCCACAGCGGGGCCACCCAGCTGACGCCTACCAAGACCAGCTGAACCCCGGGACACGCAGCCCTGTGGCCGGAGAACAGCGCTTGGCATGAGCCACACAGATTTGGCTTAAGACGTAGGGTCATTGTGGCCAAGTCTGCTCACAGCCAGATACATGAAATCGCCCAAAGCATCAGCAGGCCTTCGCGCCATGAGCGGACTCTCCCCACAGGCCAAGAACACGGACTCACAGACACAAAGACACACTCTCCACTCACCCCGGAAGGAGGAAGGCAGGAGACGAGCGAGTTAAAATTCTCATGTACTACCTGCCTAGCAGCTCCTTTTCCGGGTACCCACCTTCCCATAGAGACCAGAGGAGGGCAGGGGCGCCATGTCCCGGCCACAGCACCTGACTCCCACTAAGGCAATGCTAACACTCCCTGGGATTTTCTTTCTTTCTTTTTTTTTTTTAAATCAATTTTTATTGTTCATATTATTACAAAAGTTCCTCATTCCCCCCCCCCCCCCTCCACCAGGTTCCCACCCCACCCTCTGCCCTTTCCCCACCCCCCACTGTCCTCATCCATTTGGGATTTTCTTTTTAACTGCAGCTGAGCGTCCCCTCTGGAGGAGGAAGAGAAGAGGGAGAAAGCCAGAGTAAGACAGAATCAAGAGATGCTAGTCACCAAAGGGAGGTCCTTGGCAGCCGGGTAAAGTGAAGGAGCATTTCATTGGGGGGCTGACCCATAGCAGGAGGATGGAAAACAGGCCCCCAATGCCCTTTGGTCGGCGATGGAGTACAAAACAGGGTGCCGGCTCTCAGCTGCGCGCGGGTCCGCATCGCGGGGCTGGAGAAAGGGAACGGGAGGCCCCACAGGATGGCTGTGCACCCACCCGGCTCTCCCACCGTTCACCGTGAGGTCTGAGGGGCTTAGGAACCCCATTCTCGGCGAAGCCAGGGGGGCAGGCTCCCACACCGGCACTGAGACCCCAAGTTCAGAGAAGCCGCAGGCGGGGCTCAAAGCGACCGCTACCTGGGGGGCCGGGAGCCGGACCCACGTGCGCACCCCCCCCCCCCGAACGCGCCCGGTGCTGCCCCCCAGCGGCCTGCCCTCCCCGCCGCCCGGATTTCCAGCCGCATCTTTTGTTTTCCTCTCGGCTCTGGCCCATCAAAGCTGCTCCCGGGCGGCCTCCCGCCGGGCCCCGTCCGGTCCGGTCCGGTCCCCGCGGCCTCGGTACCTTGGTGTCCACGTCGGCCAGGCAGTCCCGGCGGAAGCTGTCAAACAGGCCGCGGCTCTTGAGCTGCTCCACGATGAGCGCGATGAGCTGCGGGTCCCCGGGCGGCAGCGAGGCCGGGTTGATGGGGCCGCCGCCGCCGCCGCCGCCTGCCGCGGCCGCCCCCGGCCCCGCCGCCGCCGGGCCCGCGCCCCCGCCGCCCGCGCCGCCGCCGCCGTCCGCCATGCCTGCGCCCCGGGCCCGCGAGGGAGACCCAAGGTGGCCGCCTCTCAGGGCCCCGGGCCGAGCAGAGGCGGCGGCGAAGCGGGAGCCGGAGGCGGCGGCGGCGGGGCAGAGGGCGGAGGGGGCGGGGAAGGCGCGGGCGCGGGCGGAGGAGGGGAGGGCGGCGGCGGCGGCGAAAGGGGGGGCGGAGGCGGGGGAGGAGGTGGCGGAGGCAGGTTCTGGGGCAGGAGAGGTGGCGGAGTAAGCGGCCCGCAAGGCCCGCTCCATCCCGGGCGCTCCTCGGATGACGTCGCCTCTGGCATTGGCCTTGTGGGGCGGGAGGTTTTCGGCACTCCTCGCCGGCGCTCTTATAGGAGGAAGGCGGGCGGGCCGGAACTACAACTCCCGGCAGGCTTCGCGGCCGCTCGCGGGCGGTGTGCGGGGCAGTATGGGACTTGTAGGCGTGGGCCGTCGTGATTTCCGCGACGTGCAGGTGGGAGGCTTTCCGGTCCATCACTGACGCCCTAGCCGTAGAGGAGCATCTCCCAAGGGTGCCTGATTATAAGGATCACCCGCGGGGCTGGTTAAAATTGTAGATGAACAGGTTCATCCCTCAGAGATACTCATCCACGTTTTTCTGGGTCGGGGCCTAGGAATCTGCTTTGTAACCTGCACTCCCTCGGCCTCCTTGGATAGTATGATGCGGGGAAATCGGGAAACAATGAATTAGTCAAATTTCTATTATTCAGAAGTGTTTTCTCCACCCTCCCTTCTGATTTTAAGAGTAACGCATGGTTATTTTAGAAAATTGGAAATTGTTTCCCTAAATTCTTTTTTACACGTGCGGATTTCCTCCCAGGTGTTAACAATAATAATGAACTGGCAATGAAAATTGGAATACACCAGGCATGCTGCTAAAAATTTCACACACACCACTTGACCATAATCTAAAAAGCAGGTGCTATGATAATTGCTATTTTACAAATGCAGGAATGGGGGCCCAGAGTTTGTTGCCCTGATCACACAGCTGGAGGCAGAAAAGGGGGATTTGAACACAGGTTTTGTGAATCCAAATCTTGCAATGTTTAACTTCAGTGATACCACCTCCTGTATGAGGTGGTATCATACACTAGATAAGGCTTTATGGCCTGATTTTTATTTTTGTAGCCACAATTGACACAAAAATAATAAAATAAAAAATGGCTGCCACCACTATCCTCTCTTCCTTTAAGACTTTTGCTCATTATTACTTCAACTGGGCAAATCAGGAATTACATCTGCTGTTGTTATTCCTCACCTTCAGTAAGTAGTGGAGGGGTTAAATAATAAATTCTGCAATATCTTTGGCTCCTGGGACGAGGCAGAATAGACAGACCCAGAATGCTCTCCACTCCAACATTTCCTACTCAAGAGAGTTTAAAGGAACCTTCTAAATACTAGGTGAGTTTGTACTCATCCTTCAACATCAGCTCAATGTTTCTCAGTGATTAAGGTAGAGACAAGTGTTCTCTCGGTCTGCCCCATCCCTGAGATGGCCTAATGTCTATTCCTACTTACCGACCCCACAGACCCCTCACCTTTAGCCCCAGAGGAAGTCATGTTCACTCTCCTTCAAGCCCCCGAGCACTTTGACCAGCCTCATCCTCCCTCCCTGTTTCCTTGGGGAGAACTTTCCTGACGCCCACACCTGATCGGGTCTGGTCTCACTGATGTAGACACTCAGAGCTCTGTTCTTGTAGCAGTTATTATAACGGAAAGTGAATAATTTATAGGATAATTGGCCACCTGTTTCCCCTGCTAGAGTGCAAGCTCTAGAGCTAGGACACAAATTATCTATCACTGTGTCCCGTAGCACAATGCCTAGCTCAGAGGGAATGAGTAAGTTCCCACCTGTTACCTAGAGTCATGGGACAGGATCAGAGAAAGAAAGGGGGAGGGAAGGGAAAGGAGAGAGAGAGAGAGAGAGAGAGAGAGAGAGAGAGAGAGAGAGAGAGAGAGAGAGAACATAGGAGGGGGAGTCACTGAGAGCCACATTCTTCAGAAAAGAAAGAAGTGTTACAGCAGGATACGATGGGTGAATCTGCCAGGACCCAATGGGTTAGTGATAGGCAGCAGCTGGTTCACCCTTTGGCAATCTCGCTGCGGGCCATGGGACTTTGTGTCCCGGTTGCTGGAACAGTGAGCTATGAGAAGGTGCTGTACCCCAGACCTGTGACCTCCCCGCTGGAACTTACAAAAGTCTGGTGGGAGATGAGGCAGAAAGGTGATGAAGACTATGGGGCGGGGCTTATTATTCACCCCAACTTGGAATAGGAAGCCACCGCTGCATCCCACAAGCACTTTTCCCTTGTCATCGTTGGGTCATACACAACTATGGTCACCAGGGGGCGCCATTGCTGCACTAGTAATTCAAGACCTTGAGAAATTTCTATGCGGAATGTTGTTCTAACTTCTGCCCAGGTGAAGAAATCTCATTTTCAGGGAAAGAAAAAAAAAGTCTTCGTTGGCTCTCAGCATTAAATCGGTGACAAGTTGCCTCACCCCGGGGAATCCCACATGTAAAGTTGCTGGCATATCTTATGTCAGAGAATGTAAGGGGATGAAACCACCACAGCCCAAACCCGGATCTGGAAGGAGAAAGAGCAGGAGCGGGGGAGGCAGGAGGCCCGTGGTTGCCATGGGAGATGTGAAGCAGCAGCAAGCCCATGGGTTTTCGTGTGGGCGGTGCTGAGTGGAATCCCAGCTGTCACTGGGGCAGGGTGACTTGGGGAAAGTTGCATCACCTGGGGCTTCGGGACCTCAGGACCGTGGGGAGGATTAAGCACCATTTTGGCAATCCATTCATCAGGCCTGGCCCTGAGCAAATGGTAATACACGTTGTGGTCACAAAGTTACATTTGGCTCAGGAGGTTATTTGATTAACCTCTGCCTCCTTCTCCTCCAGCCCCTCCTCCGCCTCCCCTATCCACTCACTTCTACATTTATGAGGAAAGAGATTGTAGGTTTTCGTTCCTCATCATATTCCCAGCACCCAGAACAGTGCCCGGCACATTAGGCTCTTGGTAAATGTATGGTTGATATATATATGAAAAAGAGAAAGAAAGAAAGAAGTGGATAGGAAATTTGTTCTAAGTATAGAATAGAGCCGTTTAAAATATTTGAGACTGCCCTCAACCAAATGTTAGAATAGAGGCAATAGTCAGAGGAGTCAGGTAAAATCTGGTGAGCGGCCCATGGGTATGAGCTATGAGAAGGTGCTGTAGGAGGCAGGGCCAGCGAGTGGGCCCGGAGATGAGAAGTCTGTGGGTGGGTTGCCTTGGCAACCTCCCAACCTTCCACTCCAAGGTCTCCATCCTTACCAGGGCGTTGCAGAGCCCTAAGACATTGGGCCACATCGAGACACCACCCCCAAGTGGGGAAGACGGGGTGTTGGTCCTTCGTCATGTTCACGGCTCAGAGCTCTGTTCTTGTAGCAGTTATTATAACGGAAAGTAAATAATTTATAGGATAAGTGGCTCTTTTTCCTCTGGCTTCCGTGGATTCGTCCAAAGAGCTCGGGAGCTCGGGCACTTCTTGGTGAACAGCAACCGGAGCTGCTGGGCGGCCTGTGTGGTCAGTGCTGGATGGGCCACAGGCGCACGTGTGATCTCAGCTGTTTCCTTTCATGTCTTCCTGACGTTCCCCAGCCTCTGGAAGGACGCTGGACCCACACGCCCTCGGAGAAAGCGGGCCTTTCAGAGCAGGAGCCCTCAGCACCCATCAGTGCCGTCACCGCCTCTCCCCGACACCATGCGTCTTACTAACATCTCGGGCCGCGGTGTTTTTCACACATTGCCATTCTGGGGTGTTATTACCCGAGGATGTCTAGCGAGAGAGAGGCCACCTGATGTAACTCAGAGGAAAAGATGGTTAGCATCTGGGTTGGGTTTGGACAAACCCCTGCTTATCGGCGGTGTGACCCAGGGCAGTCCACTAGCTTATCTGAGCCTCTGTTTGCTCATCTGTAAAATGGGGATGCTATCATCACCTTCCTTTTGTTGTCACAAAGATTAGAGGTGGTGTATCCAGAAGCTGGTACACAGTAGGCCTGCGCTGGCCAATAGTTAGTAACATGGTCTGGGTACAAGATCCTGATATATTCCGGTGTAATGTGTTATTGGGCAGACATTCTGATTAACAAGTATCCGGACTTAACCATATACTAGTATATGGCTTTGTTCTTATTACTTTGTTAGTTTTTTTTTTTTTTAATATATTTTTTATTGATTTTATACAGAGAGGAAGGGAGAGAGATAGAGAGCCAGAAACATCGATGAGAGAGAGTCATCGATCAGCTGCCTCTTACATACCCCCCACTGGAGATATGCCCGCAACCAAGGCACATGCCCTTGACCGGAATCGAACCCGGGACCTTTCAGTCCCCAAGCCGACGCTCTATCCATTGAGCCAAACCGGTCCTGGCACTTTGTTAGTTTTAACCTTGTGTTGACATAGAGGGCTGCTCAGCCACCGATGGGCTCAGGGAAGCCAAGTTCATCGTCAAACTCTGCATGTTACTGCTGCTGAGGTCTGGACCCACCATTTACCTTTGTCGTCACACTCAGCCGCCCTTCCAGAACTCCCCGTCGGCCACGGTACCTGGCACAGTTTAAGGAAGTGGCTAATTGATCATCCCCGGCCCGCTGTTAGGAGACGCAGAGCAGAGGGCCCAGCAGAGCAAGAGTGAGAAGTACGCCTTGGTTATTTTGAGCCACTGAGATTTTTGGAATTGCTTGTTACTGCAGCATAACCCAGCCCATCCTGACTGATCTAGTCCAGACCACCTCCCACCAGCAAACCCACATCCCCCTGCAACGTAAAAACCCATGGATGTATGAATGAGTCAGTTTCCTCCTCCCAGGCACCATCCCTTTGGATCATGTCTTGGAATGACTACACATCAACTGAGGCCACTGCGTGTCTCTTTTTAGACCCCTTCAGTCAGTCCTCCCTCAGGGGGGATGCTCAGCTCCTGGCTCCCGTCACTCCTGGCCGCCCGGTCCCTCCCCGGTGGGTGGGCTGCGCTCCGGACCCTTGGCTGCTGCCACCTGCAGTTTGAGCAGCGGACTGCCTGCTGTGACCACACCCCAGTGTGGGGGTTTCCTCCAGCCCCGGGGGTGCCAGTGGCTCCACCAT